TATGTGTTGATAATGAATGTTTGTGATAAACTGAAGGATGAAGTGTTTCTTTATGTGTTGATGTTGAATGTTTGTGATAAACTGAAGGATGAAGTGTTTCTTTATGTGTTGATGATGAATGTTTGTGATAAACTGAAGGATGAAGTGTTCCTTTATGTGTAGATGTTGAATATTTGTGATAAACTGAAGGATGAAGTGTTCCTTTATGTGTTGATGTTGAATATTTGTGATAAACTGAAGGATGAAGTGTTCCTTTATGTGTTGATGATGAATGTTTGTGATAAACTGAAGGATGAAGTGTTCCTTTATGTGTAGATGTTGAATATTTGTGATAAACTGAAGGATGAAGTGTTCCTTTATGTGTTGATGATGAATGTTTGTAATAAACTGAAGGATGAAGTGTTCCTTATGTGTTGATGATGAATGTTTGTAATAAACTGAAGGATGAAGTGTTCCTTTATATGTTGATGTTGAATGTTTGTGATAAACCGAAGGATGAAGTGTTTCTTTATGTGTTGATGTTGAATGTTTGTGATAAACCGAAGGATGAAGTGTTTCTTTATATGTTGATGTTGAATGTTTGTGATAAACCGAAGGATGAAGTGTTTCTTTATGTGTTGACACAGGACAGACGCTACAAACATATGATGATCTTATAGAATATGATGCATTGATGCAGATTAAACTGGACAACAGGATATAAAGGAGTTAACATGCAACATACCCATTAATGCAGCAGGAATAATAATAATCCAGAATCATCGCATACAATAGTAAAATACTGACAGGGAACATTGTTGATCAATAAGTACTTTTACTTTTCATATATTTAGCTGATAGCTACTTATGGTTTTGAAGGCAGGACTTTTACTTGTAGTGAAGTATTTCTCGTGTGATATTGGTACCTGATCTGAATACTTCTTCCAGCACTGCTCACTTATAAAACACACACACACACACACACACAGTCAATGCGAGTTATTATGTATCAGCCCCTCTTTAGTAGAGGTCCGTGAGCTGTGACAGCTCCATGCTAGCTAGCTGAAGTTAGCTTGAAGCATTGTCCTTCCACTATTATGAACCAGATACTAGCTGGGAGCTAACACTTAGCTAGATACAGAGCGACTCCAGATTCAGACTGGACGCGGACAGCTATAACTACAACGGAAATACTCGTCAACAAGAGGCACACAAACCACATTAATAAACAACCTTTCTATTTTTAAAACATACCCTACAGTTGTAGCCAGTCTATGCTATAGGCTGCCTGGCTAGCTGACAGATTAGCATGCTAGCTAGCTGACAGATTAGCATGCTAGCTAGCTGTCAAATAGCGACCGTTAGCAAAAAAATAAAAAAGGAGTTCGACTCGAATGATGCCAAACAGGAGGACAGACATTTCCGATTCATTCATTGCTTTAACAATACAATTGTTTTTAAATTTTGATCCAGACACCCATGTCCTACTCCGGCTTATAGACCGGATAAGGTGCTCTGTCATTGGGCGCTGCAGGCAGCAGAGACCGTGGTTTGGTGGGGCCTCATCGAAGCTCCTCTCCGACTCCCAACAAGCTTCCACTTTAACGCACGTGCACCGGTATATAGAGCACGAGGATGTTTCTTAAATTCATGTAAAAGTCCCCATTGAGTCCTCACCGTATATAGGTCTGAGTCTCCTGTCGTTGGGGTCCTGCACATGGCCTCGCGCCGCCGCCATGGTGGAGTTTACCTGTTTGGGGGGGGGGGTAAATGTTCACGCATGCGTACTGCGGAGCTGCCTCGCGGAGGGCAAACGGTTTACATTAAATGTATGCATGAGTGTGTGTGCTGCAGTCTGTGGTAAACAAGTACTCAGGTAGTACTTTTTACTAGGAATACCACAGTATAGAAGTAGTGTAGTGTACTCTTTTAAAACTAAGCCCTGCATTCCAAAAGTATTATGTTATTTTATTAAGTATATTTGTTTAAAGTAGCTATAGTAAAATGACTCATTTCACATTTTGTAATAATGTATATTATTATTAGTGATGCATTATGTTGCAGATAGGGTTTGCTGGGGATCATTTTAATTGAATTATATATAAAGTATATATATGTTGTTAATGTTGTTTAAGTACTGTACTTTAGAATATGTACTTTACTGTTACTTTCCACCACTCCTTCCTCCTACATTTAGAAATCCAGACTGCAGTGGTGGAATGTAACATTGGAGTACATTTACTGCAAGTACTGTACAATTTGAAGTACTTGTACTTTACTTGAGTATTGGCAGTTTTAAACTATTAAAACAAAATATTAACAGTCGGTTCATTGCAGAACTGTATAAAATAAAGAATGTTTTAGATCAAGGAAATAAATATTAAACAAAGATTACTGACATTTCCTCATTAATTTATGCATTCATGTGCAATATAAACAACCACTCAGCCCGATTACATCATACTTGTTTTGATCAGTTTTACTTAAATTAAGTCTCTTTTTTGTTACTATCCACTCTGCTGCTGTAGTCCTGCAAATGTCCCCACTGTGGGACTAATTATCTTATTTTATTAATCCAATTTTTAACGACTCAAGGAACGAACTATCCCACCGTTTATTTCAAGGCTCCAATATTCAGAGACTTGATTCAATACTATCATGTCGTCACTTGTTTTTGGGCAGAAAGAAGCTCTTTGTGCAGAACAGAATCAATGAAGTGATGTCCACCTTTATTATTAACCCTTCCAGTCTAATAGGTTTTCTTGGGACACAACCTTTTCTCCTTCAGTCATTTTGCATTTGACCGTTTGTGTGATTTGTGCTGGTTTGAAAGCTGACGTGATTTAAAAGAAATGCAAATGTTTAGAAATGACAGAACCAAAAGGTTTCTGTTAAAAATGTCAAATTATTGTTCAGTTGTAGAGAAGTTTAACTGAATAAACAAATAAGGCATGTTGGTATTAGGGACAGTGTGAAACGTATTAAAGCAGAAGCTTCATCTTCCACCTGTTCAGTCTGAAGATCGTGACGTCCGGTTCTCTGCTGGAAGGAATTGCTCATCTTTTGTCCCTTTTTAGAATTTTCTTAAATTTTGTCCCAAAACATTCACAACCTGAAACAAAGTTTCAATTTTAACATTAAAATGTAAATTCAGAAAGCAAAGTTCACTGTTTTCAGTAATTTCTCTATATGTTGAGGGAGCGAGATGAGAGTAAAAGTCAATAATCTCCTTGAAAGACATTTCTTACACAAAACAACAAACCAGGAGACATCACATTCTCTTATTTGATCAAATTTATTAGATATTCTGTTATGTTCCATTGTCTAGACCTTCTGTCACAGCCTGAAGGCCGTGAAGAACAAAACAAACATGAACTACTTGTTTTACATTCACTACTAATTCCCCTGAATGTTGCCTTCATCAGAAAAGAGAAAATAGAACGTTGTGAATCTTTGTCTTTCAAAGTGAAAACAGAAAAGAACAAAAACAGTAGATTTTGCGAGTGTGTATTCATGATTACAATAAAGAGACAGCAGTATTTTGGACTCCATCTGTTCCCTAAGCTCCTAGCCCGCCCCCCCTCAGAATCAGACCCCGGCTGGCATCCCTGGTAACGCCACCAAACTGTACATCACACGGCCGACTCCCGCCTTCCTCAAACTCGGCCCGGCTCTTTCACTCCTCGTCTTGTGATCGGAGGTCCGGCTGAACCCGGTTTGATTCTGAGGAGGAGCCCCCCCCCCCCCCCCCTTTTATTAAATAACATAAAATAAAGGATTTCCCTTCTTCTCTGATGCAGTTCGAGAGCTTCTCCTGATCAAACACAGAGAAAGGAAAATAATAAAATGAAATAAAACGCTGTTGAGCATGCCGATCCAGATCTGGACTTGTATTTTTTTAGGAACCCTCTCCTCGCGTGGTGCCGATCTAGCGGCTCCAGGTCATGCTTGTACAGGTGTGAAACGCGTCACGTGTCTCCTGCAGGTCGCACACATCCTGCTCAGGCCGACACGAGCGTCTCCCGGCTGTACATTCACGAGCGCAGACGAGGACGCGCGGACACTTCTTCTTGCTCGGACAACACGAGAACCTCAAGAAGTTAGCAGTACTGAATGATAAAGACCTGACACCGCTGAGAAGCTGTGAATTATCCATTCAAGTCAGTGTTTGTATGTACACGATGTCCATTTCTACAATGGACCATTATAAAGTACACTTATAACTCTTTTAAAACCGGTCCAACACACACACACACACACACACACACACACACACACAGAGTCTCACTCGCACTAAGCTACGTCATGATCATAGAACATATCACATATTTCACCTAGAGAGGAACTGCACTCCGCTCTACACAAAGACGCTAACGGAGCTCTGTTGTGAGTGAAGTCCATCCTGCATTAAAAGAAGTTTTCAGATCAACCTAAAGCAGAAGAGATTGAACTGTTGAACTAGAAACCGTTCAGACTGACCCTCAAGATGAAACGCTTTAAAAAAAAAAAAAAAAAAACTAAATAGTGAAAATATAAAACGACACAACTTCAACAAACACCACAGATCTGCCTGGACCCATCAGCTCCGTCAGCAGAGAGAGGAAGCGGTAGTTTAATAAAGATATATATTTATGTTATAATGTATATTTATCACTACCTTGATTCATGCACGCAGCCACGCACTGACTTTATGGCTAAACAATGTAAAGAAATAATCTTTCGTTGGTTTAAAGCCCTGTTGACATGCAGCCACGGAGACCACGAGGAGCCTCGAGAGGGACGGTCCGGTAAGAGCGAAGGCAGCTGATAACAGACAAGCACACACACACACACTAACACACCGGTGTATCGTACACACACACACACACTCTCTCTCTAATCAACACTAACGATCCACTGGAGCGAAAGCTGCACTGCAGCGACTGTACACATGCAATGACAGTTTAGCGAGGAGTTGCTGTTGTCCACATGCACTTGTGACGGAGGAGGAGGATGATGGGGGAGACATGTGTGCGGGAGGGGCAATAGTCGATAATTACCCATCATGCATGAGCATTAACTTTGCTTTGAACCATAGCCTCAAAATGAAAAAACAAAACATAAAAAGAAACGTAAAATTCCCAACTAACTGCCAGACAGAGGGGACAGTGAGACAAGGAGAGGACGTCGAGAGACAGAATATAGACACTACTGGGGGGGGGGGCAGACAGTTATAATACAAGGGAAGGTGGGGAGATAAATGGTTCAATACCTGCTAAAGTCACCAGATACCAATTGTTGTGGGAAGCTAAAAACATTCTAATGAATTTAAAAAGGCTTGACTTTCTGAGTCCCGGTGTGCACACCTGAATAAAAACAAAGCCCGTCGTAACCATCAACTAACAATTACATATCAGGCAATTTACGTTCTGTGCAAAGAGGGGTATTTTTTTCTTTTCTTTTTTTTTTTAAATATGTAAGCAAAACCATGTTGTCTGTGTGAACAGGAGGCTTGTGATCGGGGTAGAATCTGTACAGTACTGTTAAACCAATCTTTCATCATCAAACCCCCCAATGAATCATGTGAGACGGGAGGAGAAGACGCAGCGTCGGGCCTCCTCCTCATCGTGGTGGACGCGTCTCTGATGACGTCATCGTGACGGGGTTTGGTTGATTTGCCTCATTGCTCATGAGCAGCACTGGTGCCTCGAATCGGACCTGTATTACGCAGCTTGGGGGGGGGGGGGGGGGGGGGGGGAGGAGGGAAGGGGAGAAAGAGGGATAAAGAAATGAGGGGC